GTCATTCATAGTAATGATCTTTCTCCGTTATATCTTCTAATATTTTTATCTAGAGCCAAACACGCTTCATTCAAGCCCATTCTGCCCTGTGTGCACTGCCACTCCCCCCTGCTGAAGACAGGAGGTGCTACAAGAGCTGCAGATGACGGTTATTTTAACAGTAACAGAAACATGGTGAACAGGAAAATAGATTGATATTTTTCACTTACGTATACCATGGCGACAGCGGAAAGCTTATAGCATTTTATAGCATTAGTTTAATCGCTGAACATGCACAAACACTTTTGGCAGAGAGCTAATGTCCTTGCGCTAAGGCCATTGCACACAGAGTCCGAATTTTTCGTCCGAAATTTTCGCATGTTGAAAAATATTTTAATACATATCTGTTCTAGATTCAATGTAAACACTATGCTTTGGCAATACATTGTAACAATTGCCATGCCGTAATGCCAATAAAGCACATATTGAATTGAATTGAATTGAATTGAGAGAGAGAGAGAGAGAGAGAGAGAGAGAGAGAGAGAGAGAGAGAGGTTGGAGATCGCGCTGCACACACAGAGAAACATTCAGGACCACAGAAAATATTTGTTAACGCTGATCGCTACTATGTAGCTAGATACTAGATCGCTACATTATATTCCTCATCAACGAGATGGTAAAATAACTGTTTTTGAAGTAATTAAAAACAGCTTCACTGTTTGTAGAGAGAGGCGCAGACACAGGTAATTCACACACGCAACTGTCACCTCTCTCACATGATTGATCGATAATTCAAATAAATGCTATAATACATTCAAATAAATGAGGTCTTAATAATTTTCATTTTTACCCTTACAAATCGTGCGCTGCATACATCATTAACAGCTTTAACTCGTCAATGCTGGCAAATGACTATTATGACCAGTACTATTCTCATCCACCTGGCCTTCTGCCATACATGGGTATTTAAATGTAAAAATAATAATAACCTGATAAAACATCTAATCTACCTTTTAATATTCACATCCAGTTGGGCTCAACTAATAAAATGGTTTAATTTGTTTGTAAAAAAAAATATATATATAATAATCTCAGTCACTACCGCTTTGGCTTTCAAGGCCAATATCCTCATCTTTGGATGACTATTTTGATTTTTTTCCTTTTTCTTTTACAAAGTAGTACAGCTGCCCAGATTGAAATTCATAACTACTCCAAAAAAGTATTGTCCCGACTTCCACTGGGAAGGAAATATCAAGACTGGACCTTTTGGAAAGTCTGTCAAGCTCAAAATGGCAAAAGGTAACATTTTCTTCTGAAGCCATATGAAACTTACATGCGCATGGTAATTTTAGCTCCCTAAAACATTTTACACACACAAACACACAATTCGGACCAGGTTCGATTTTCTGCGTTTTCGCATCCGTAGCAAGCATTTTGATAGGAAAGGATGACGAATACGCAAAAAACCTGGAAAAACGCATACAAAAATTTCAGACTCAGTGTGCAAGGACATTTATTCAGACTTTGGGCGGCACACTAATGTTGATTGACTTGTGCCAGCGCAAACAGTCTTTTGGCGTTAAAATAGTACTGTCAGGATTTACTAAAGATGCGCAGTGAAGAATTAGCACTGAAAAGGCGTGGACACAGTCATTTTTGCGCCTGACCTTATTGAATATGCATTTCTAGAAGTTTCCCATTCAGACGCAAAATATATGGGAGGAGAGTATTCAAATTAATCACGCAACGAGATTTACTAATGTTTTGCGTTCGCCAAATTACTGCCATTTGCGCTATTATTTAACGCCCCAAAAAAGCATGTCTTAAACTATTTTGCTCTTGAAATGGATGCAATTTGTTGCTAGGAGGAGGCACCACAGAGAACAGAGAGCGTCCACACGTATTAATTTATTTGGAAAGAACACATTATCCGAACATATCGTTTGCCAAGCCATGTTATTTTTAATTTGCTTCAGGAAATAAAAGACGACTTG